GGTCTTCAAAGAATATTTCAATTCCATCCATTTGTGTGTCATGGATCCCCAAACTTAGCCTTGCCTTCTCAAAATACTTCATGCAATATGGTTTCAAAGTTTTCTTTAACCTTTCAATAAAAATCAAGTTCCTGTTTGTAAAAAGTGAAATATTGGCCTTTTCAAATTTTAAATTTGTTTTATTAGTCTCTTTCTCAGTAAAATGCTTCATTACAAATCTATTATGATTTTCCAATTTTGCATGTATAATTTTACTTTATTGCAAAAAACTTTAATGAATTTATACAATAATTTTTTTTAATATTAGAAGATGGATAATTGATTTTTTTTTAATTCCATTATCTAAAAGTAGTTTCTTCAGGGTTGCTATGCTACCTGGAAAACCTAAAAAACAAAGGAAAAGTCAGGGAATTCGAAAACTGTTTAAAAAAATCAGAAAATTTCATTCAGTAATCCCCCAAAAATTGCTATTTTTACACTAACGTTGGAAGCAATTACTTTCGTTGGGAATTATGTATCGCATGAGCGTCATTCAAGTAGCTGTCACAGAGCCAATTTTCGCAGCTCCAATCAGATGGTCTTTTAGAAAGGCAAAGCAAGTTTCCAGTAACCTTAAAAATGAAGAGATTCACATGCATATGTACAGTGGATGTTAAATGAAAGAAAATACATTCCCATACCCATATAAACAAAATCGGTTTAATCCTAGTATACGGTACAGAGGGATTTGGCGTCAGGATGATGAGCAGTAAACTGGACATTTATGATGAGTAGTAAACAGGTCATTTTGGTGTTGATGACAATTATCAAAATCGTGCCAAGACCATATTGTGTACTAGGATTTTACCATAAAAACATTTTTTTTTTTAATAAATGCCTTTTGCATCAAAATAAAAAATGGTAATCAGTCATCTAGGCTAACCATTTATTATAATTGGTAATGCCGAATACCATTTATTATAATTGGTAATACTATTTGCCGAAATGTCATTGATTATCGTAATTCAGTTTTTAATTTTTAAGTAATTAACTTTATTTTAATGTTATTCGTATCATTTAATGTGGCTTCTTCCATCTAAGTTTATTATTAGTTAATAATTGGCATACTCCTGAAACTAATTCTAGCAATATAATGACATACCATCACGAAATTTAATGCTCATATATTTTGCATATGTATTCTGCTGAATAAATATAAAATACCTGAATTTATTTTAAAATATCATTAAATATATTTATTTCTTTCTTTTAGCTGCAAAATGTCAGCCAAAAAAAAAAGAAAAAAGAAAAAGATATTTTTTAATCCAGATTGGGCAGATTGTAATCTCAGTCTTCAGTGGAGAAAACAACTCCTATTATAGTTATAATAGTAATGCTATGGGGATTATATTGTTACGTTTTTATTTTCTGACACCAGTTCTTACATTATTTTCTTCCTTCATGTTCATATGGGTTTTGTGTGGATTTGGAGTGAATAACGATGACACTTGATGAAATATCGAAACACACTTTTTTGGCCAGTATTAATCAGGACAACTCCAAAATCTCGTTTATAGTCGTCAAACTGTTATAAACATGCTGACATGATCAGTGACACAGTTTTCAGGTTATCAAATTATCATGGTGGAGACAGCTTCACTGCAAAGCACCAGAGCACAGCTTCCAATTCTGCTTGGTCATTCTCGGAACTCCACGTACTCTCGAGACTCTCCACGCTACAACTCGCGATGCACTCGACGACACACAGAGCACATCTCCTGATTCTCTGGTTCAGCCGTTCCCGGAGCTTAACACACTCTTCTCGATGATGCACTAACCACGATACGCTAAGAGACTCGAAGTCAAACTCGGCGCTTGACTTCAAGACACTCGCTCAATGACTGACTATCAGCTCGCTGGACAAGGCACACACTATCTCGCACTTGGCGAGGCACACTCTCCGGCTGGGGACCAGCAGGGCTTATATAGCTTTCGGCTTGTGTTCGAGAACACTCTGGGCTAAACCGGTAAGAATTTGCTTCAGAAGGTTCTCCATCCGTCCATGGCATATTGCCAATTTTGTTGCCAAGTGGGTGATTTCTCACCAAATGTTGCAACCCTGCCCTCCTTGCTAATTTATGGCAACCATAAAACTGCTTTGCAGGGAATCGTCGTACCGCTCCTGTACATTTCGTAACAATATATAAGTCATATGTAATTGGCAAATTTTTGTATTTTCAAGTGCTACCATAATTATTTTACCTCTCAGCACAGCCAGCATGCACTATGTGGATAGACAGAAATTTTCTTAAAACACACCTGGAAAAGTCGGGGAATTTCCCTCTCCTGTTCGAGTGGAACCTTGTTTCTTTTTTAATGACAAAATGAGAATTTAATGAGATTATATTCTTTTTTAGAGTTTTATTATTTAGACATATGTTTTAGCCAGGAACTTTTAAAATAAATTAGTTTTTAAATGTATTATTTTAAAATTAATTTGCTCCTAGAAACATTATTATATAGAAAGTGTGTGTTTTAAAAATGTTCCATATTTCATGAACATTGTAGCAGTTTTCCATCATGCATAGGCTAGTGGGTGAATAATAATGTCTTTTATATATAGGCTGTTTCAGCAATTCGTTTGCAGACTACTTACAGGAGAGATAGATTACACCTGAACAATGGAAAATCGCATAGCAATGCATGATCAAAAATGCTTTCCTGGTGCAGTAGTGATGACCAAAACACAAGAAATGAAGGATACAAACAGGGTGAGAAAACAAGTTTACTATGTTTAGTGAGAAATGAAAGCAAAAACTGACAACAGTTGTCATCAAAGAAAGAATTAAATTTTACAACATCGAAATTACCACCTCGGACTGTGATACAGGCCTCGCATCTCTGGCGCATGGATGATCTGATGTTGTGGAAAATACCTGGTGTATCCTGGACTTCCCCAGCAGCTGCCATGGTGCATGCCTGAGCAAGTTCCTGAGCTCTGTTAAAAGGGATTTCATACATTAGTGTCTTGACATACTCCCCGCCCCTCTCCCAAGTAAGTAGTGAATGTTATCTTGCTGGCTAATGCGCCAGACCATCTCTGCCGATCCAGTGTTAAGGATATGTTGCATTTATGTGGAGATGCACATCAAGGCTAATGTATGCAAAAATTTAACATTCCGAACATTTTAGCTGCACTGATCATAACTGTTTTCTCATCCTGTTCATGTCCATGTTTCTTGTGTTTTGTGTCTTTATTACCGTGGCAGGAAAGTGTTTTTGACCATGCATTGCTGTGTGATTTTCAATCGTCTGGGTTTACTCTATCTTTCCTGAAAGTTTGTAACTGAATTGCTGAAACACCCTGTATATAATTTAATTCAGTCAAAAAATTTTAATTTATTTCACATAAAAGTAACTTTTATATTATTTTATAAAGAAAAATCATTTTAGTTTTAAATCTTTTAAACTGTGGAACGGGTAATTTTCTTATCGTGCTTATGTTTAAATGTGCTGAGCAGTGCACAGATAATGTATGTATTGTGGCAAACTGGCAGTTGTGCTTACATTTTCTGGATTTTTTGGTTATTCTAATACCACAGCAAACAATTTTTTTTTACATTTGCCTAAAAACTTTAAAAATCCCATTTAGAGACTGATGATTGATTAATCAAAAAAAAAAGTTTCTCCAAATAGAAGAAATTAAGTCAACAATGAAAAAATAAGATGGTGTGTGTCTGCAGCGACTAAGAGTCATCTGAAGTGAGCAAAGTGTTGTTGGAGAGTGCAAAGAAAATGCACTGTAAACTGTTTCAATGCAATTCGGTCTACTGTAGCAATTAAAAAGGAAAAAATTACTCTAAAAAGCAATAAGTCTTATTATAAAAACTTTCTAATTAAAGCAGAATATTTATTTACCATGATGATAAATATCAGAATAAAGTAAATCCTTTCTAGAGCATTATATATTCTTTTTTTGTTGTTGTTGTTTTTGTTGTAGCTACAGTCAAAAGTCATTAATCCGGACTCGTCAGGACTTCGGCGATTCCAGATTATCGATTTTTCCGGATTATAGATCATCAGTTTAAATCTCATAAGATGGCATGCACAAATTCTAAAATTAAAAATATGAAACCATAATTTATGAAATAAGGAACAATTATGATCTAAAGGGTATCAAAATTTACAAAAAAAGAAGCTTAATATTTATTTGTTTACTTTATTAAACATTTCTTTCAATGTAAGTTGTTTAAGTTGCTTCATTTTATGTGATAATACTTTCTCTTTAATTCTATAAACAGACATTTCTTGTTCAGTTACAAAGTTCCGCTGTTCAAGTCCCGTAATTGCTGTGCCGAGAATACCAACTAACTTGTCAATCGAAATCTTTTCGTTTTCACTATCCTCTCTGTCACCGTTCTTCATGTCTTTATCCATTTTTTGCAGCAATTCCACTTTTTGTTTGACGGACATCAAAACATACTTTCGTTTTGTAGATCCTTTGGGTGCTCCAGCATCGGAAATTCTATTTGACATAATCGAAAGTTCAAGTTTACTTTTATAAAATTGCTCTTACAGTCTGCAAAAAATAATAAGCCGCGTCCAATTCGAAGATTAAGGAACAACGCAATCATCACTATCAACTGAGATAATTAGATAATTTTAGCTTATACCGTCCGTTATACATTAAACGTTAAAACGTATTCTGCGCTTGCGCACACGCATATGTGCAGTCGTAAAGGTCTTACGTGCACGCGTAAACGCCTATGCGCATGTGTCAATGCGGCGCATGCGCAGAAAGTTTTTAGCTTTGAAGTTCGGATTATAGATCATTCCGGATTATGGGTGTCCGAATTAACGACTTTTGACTGTAGTATGTATGTGCAATATTTGTGCATGAAATCTTGCAGAATATGAATTTTATAATGCCTGATAGTTAGTCTTGTTTGGATTATTGCAATCTTATTCTAAAAATACTGTACTGATTATACAGATTTCATTAATTGCACTTTCCTTTCTAGGTAATTACCTTCATTGATCTTGCGGGCCACGAAAGGTATTTGAAAACTACTATATTTGGAATGACTGGGCATATTCCTGATTTCACAATGTTAATGGTAATTTGCATTTTGTTCTTTGACTTGTAAGATTTTTTTATATATATAATTTGCCATTAGTTTAATTTAAGTATCACGAACATACACTGGTGTGCAAAAATTAAGGACAAGGCAGAAAAATTAGCATAAAAATGGAATAAGGCAGCAGAATGGACTGAAAGACCAGTCCACTGATAGTTTTGGGATGATACAATAGGGGATGCACATATGGCATATTACTTAAGGAGGAGTGTTGAAATTGTATAACACTGAGTGATGTGTGCTTAGCAGTTTGGTTACTGCTATTGCATGGTGTACAGTGATTTTAACAATGTCAACTTGCTACTACTGTGTGGCATGGCCAACAGGCAATCCAGGAGACATCTTTTGGATGACTGTACTTGAGGTCATGTCATTGGAAAGTTGAAAGAAGGTTGAAGTCTGGTGGAGGAGTATGGGATTGCTCACAACTTAATTTCACATGTCTAGAAAGCATTTCAAATGGCGGGAACAGCTGCATGAGCATCAGAGGTGGTCTTCACACACAATAATGGCATTGACATCTGGTATATTTTCCTGTTAGCTAGAAGAGACACATGACAGATTGTGGAATATATTGCAAGGCATGTGTAGCAGACTATTAAATATCCAATATTGCATTTTACGATAGCCACAAGGTTGCACAAACATGTTTTATATACATGCCAACTAGTATAGTGTTAGTGTGTGCAGTAAATGCCTGCTTATCAGAAACACCTATTTCTGTGGTGCCAGGAGCACAAGAATTGGACACAACAAGAGTGAGGTTGAGTGCTGTTTTATAGGTAAGATTTAATTTAGTCTTTTACAGATAAGATTTAATTTAGTTTGATGAGTGATTCTAGATGTAAACAGATCTGAAGAGAGAAAAGAACACCGAGTCATGCCTCCAATATCATCAAAAAGTCCTTTTTTGGAGGTGTGGTTTTGTCTCATTTAAAGTAGTATCATGCTTGTTAACCATATTAACCTCGACATCTTCCAAACTGGTTTAGTCCGTGATGTCCATGATTGTACCAAGGTTCTCCTGCCTCACATGCATCTGTTTAAAGGTGCTATAGGTCCAGATTTCCTCTTCATAGATGACAGCACTACAACTGGTCTTACAATAGCTGTTGCAGAGCTCTTAGAGAATAAAGATATTCGATGCATGTATTAACCTGCAAGGTCCCTTAAATTGCACAGAACACATGCGAGATCTTCTCAGGAGATACTCGGCAACATGTGATCAGCTACCAGCAGTACTTCTGAAGCTGAAATTGACACTGCAAAAGGAATGGGAAATGATGACTCAACAGCTCTTTTACAACCTTGTCCGCACCATGGACAGGCATTGTAATTCTTATATATCTGTCAGGGATGGTATCTCCTTCTAAGGATGATTTTGTTATAGAGTGCCTGTCACATGGACATTTCTGTCTTCTCTTGAGTTGTGCCTGGAGTTACTTTTCCAAAAAGTCACCTTTCATCCTTTTGATTCCTTGTTCGGATAGTTTTGCTCACTTGTCCCATATTTTCTGATCTTGGTGATCTTATAGTAAGATTTGGGTTCATGTGGAACACTTCTGTGTGACATTACATTTGAAAAACTGTCTCATCCTTAAATTTTGCTCACAAGAGTAGTTCACAATCCCTTTTTTTTTGGTTAAATTTTCTATGAAGAGATAAGTATGCTTATATCAGTTTTTTATTTACAAAAATATCTATGTAGTTTATAAACATTTGTGTTAATGTATTACAAATATATTTTAGTATATTAAATATTTATTTTTCAAATGAAGTAATAAATTTTTTGTTTATTATTCCAAGGTAGCCTTATGCTCTGATTTAATTATGAGCCTTTTTTATCCATTGTACAAAATAAAGGAAGTATTGTAATCACAAAAAAATTCGGTTGTCAGATTTCATCGGAAATATATATTTTGACCATTCCGGAATCCATTTTGACTATTTTGTGCATGATATCTTAACATACAGACAGAATAAAGGACTTTGTATTCCAAAACATATTGTAAAATGGATTTTTTTCATACTGTCTGTATATATGTACATACGTATGTAGGTATCAAAACCGATTTGCTATAGAACATTAAATTTTTTTATACAGGATTGCTATAACATCTAATTGTACACATCCATTTTTCATTTCAATTGGCAGTACGAATATATTTCTACCCACCCTTTATTTTCACAATTGTTGGTCGGAGTCATATACTTTTAACTACAGAAGGGCAATCTTTGGGCAATGGTAAATTGTTTAAAAAATTAATTTTGGACAAATAATGAAATCTAACTTTAAATGCAGTCTCTTGTTTTCTATACTTATATTTGGGAAAGTTTCATACTTGTTATGAAAAAATAAAATGATAAGAAGTTTGACTCCTGTGTGACAAAAATTGACTGATATATTTAATTTCAAAGTTTGAAATTTTTTATGTCATTTGCAACTTGCCTTGAGGTATGATCCATACAAAGAAGTCGTGTGATGTCCAAATGACTAAAAATTAGCCAAAGTGTTATATATGTTTTTATATCTCAGTATTTTCTTCCATTGAATCAGAGCTTTGCTAGGAAAAACACTGAATTTAATGTTTCTTAATCTTTCAAGCAAGAAAGATGAAGTGAAATATTTCTTTCTTGTTTGTAAAAGCAGGAGAAAGAAATTTCAGAAATTGCATGCTGCAATTTGTACTCCTTTGTTAACATGCCCAATTAATTCTTCTGTTACTATTCATTCATCTTGTAGAGAGTTTTTTTTTTGGGGGGGGGGCCTTAATGTAGAAAATCTTTAATGTGAATAATTACATTAATTGCTTTTTTGAAATCAGTAGAGTTCATAAGTTCAGCTAGAAAAATACTAGATATACTGCACGCATATAATGTTTGCTAAAGTGTTTTAATTACTATTAGCTCTTTTATTAAATCAATAGTAGTTGTTCCTCTTTGGCATTTTAAATTCTTTTCTGCTCAGTAATATATACATTTGATTTACAAGTTATCTGTGTTTTATTAAGTAAATGTTATGTTTTTTAAAGCTCGAGGACTTTTGATTTTTAAAATTTATTCATAAATCCAAATATTTATCAATCATATTGTGTCATAAAAATATATTAAATAAATTTGCGATTTTTATCAACAGAAGCAGTAATTGCTGAGATTAATTGATGCAAATTGGTTTAAAATTAAAATATTTTAAGCAAGTTTAAATTAATTAAATAATTTTTTTAAACATTCAGAAGTTTTATATTTGTTTTTTAACTTAAGTTTTTAAAATTTTATTACAAATAGGTATGATTTTTTTCTATTATGGCTAAATGAGATTTGTATCTTGACATTTACTAAAATGGTGAAAGTTCAGAATCTTATTATTTTTTATATTTCAGAATTTTAAGACTTGATATTGAAATGTTTGGATATACCAGTAATTTTCAAGTGTACTAATCTTTCAATTATCATGTTATGGCTGCATTAAAAATTTAATATTAGCTTCCTTTATATCAAATATGTATCAGCTTGCTTATTCATTGAGGCAGTTTTAAGAGTGACATTAATAATATGAATTTTTTTTTTTTTTTTTTAATTTTTCAGGTTGGTGCAAATGCTGGTGTAGTTGGAATGACTAAAGAACACTTAGGACTTGCTCTAGCTTTAAATGTTCCAGTTTTTGTTGTTGTCACAAAAATTGACATGTGTCCTGTTAATGTACTCCATGACACTATGAAACTGCTTGTCCGTATTCTGAAATCACCTGGTTGTAGGAAGATACCAGTTATTGTTCATTCTGAAGACGATGTTATAGTTTCAGCTACTAATTTTGTTTCTGAGAGGTAAGCATGTTCAAATTAAATGTGCGTAAAATATGTGACAGTATAATATGCTCAGCTAAATTAATGAAATAAAATACCAGTTTTAAAAAGAAATATTTCATAATTTTAAACTGGGAATGTATGTTTCTGTATTACAGTAAATTTTTAATATTATTTTACACAAAAGAGATTTCATCGCTTAATTATTTTGAAATTTTGTGTAATATTAATGTAATATGTGAGTAGTATTATAATTGTACTGGTATTACAATATAACAATGGTAAAAAAACTGTCATAAACATAATATAATGTTCTTAAACTCTTGCAGATGATAGGAACAACATAAAATGCCTGAAATAATGGTTCGCATTATTATGAAATTCCAACTTTCAGAACTAAAACAGTGCATGTGATCTGTCAATACTTCTCTAGCATTTTATAATGCTTAATGCATAGTCTTGAGGATATATTAATTTTAAAATGTTCTGTAAAACATAATAACACAAGAATGAATTTGTAATCCGTTGCAAAAGATATGTTAAATCACTTTTGGTAGCTTTTGAAAAATTTTGGCAGGAATTGCATTGTATCATCAGATAAAGTGAAGTTACTTTTGAAACCCCATTTTATGCAATTTGCCAGAGATTAGCATTTTGATGTAAAAAGCAAATCAGAGTAATTGGTAAGCCACATTCAATGGCAACCACAGACTGCTTGCATCTGGAATTGGCAAGTATAGATTGCTTGTATCTAGAATAATCCTAATTTTCTGTAATGCAGTGCCAAAACTTGTGTAAAAGAATAAATGCTTACATGGTAAAGATATGCATATTATAAAGGAACTATCCATACAGTTTACATTATTTAATTTATAACTTCCATTCGAAAATAGGATCTCTAAGTGTGTTCTTGGGATTTTGTTCTTAACCATCATCACAATGCAATATTTAGTCCTATTTTATTGAATGATGCTGTCTTTACAATAAAATACCAGAAGATACCAGAAGTAAATATGCACTGTTCTCGATTGATTCTGGTGGGAGAATGGCCCCCAGGTGCTATTCCAAGCAGATATTGTTCAGATAGCAACACTCTTATTTATCTGTTTGTGTGTCTTGCAGTACATTACGGTGGCAAGGATTCTTTGAGAAAATGTTCACACATGCTGTTCAAATAATGTTCGTCCACATGGTGTTAAAAAAAAAAGAGAGTTGTCTTATTACCTATATAACCTTCTTCCATTCTCACCCCTTGACCATTAGCATACTTGATATTCTTCCTCTGAGTCCATCTGACACTCTGTGGTATACTTGAAATTATGCATGATATCAATTTCAAGGCACTGCAGGCAAGAAAAGAAAGCTTGCATTTATCTGTTGCATCAGTGTGGTATATCTGTCTGATACCTTATAAACAAGTGCATACACTTTGCATTATCTTTGTTCAATACTAACTGCTGCATAGTGCATTAATTACTTACCAGCTTCATGTTTTACAAGTTGTTTTCATTTTTCCCTCATTATCTAGCCTCTGCTAAAAGTGATGAATCCATTATGCTTTGAAGATGAAGCAAAATATTGTCTAAGAGTTACAATACTCTTATTATATCGAGCCATTCGAGAAGTTCTGCAGTTTTTTTTTTATGATAAATGAAAATAAAGCAGTAGAAAACATAGTACATAACATATAAAACCCTCAGACCCATCCCACATGTGCACTCGGACCTCGGGGTGCTCTTTCTCAATATTGGAACAAAACGGGGCAGAATCGTACTGTTTACTGTATGGTGCCCAACAACAGACTTAATCTTGTGTGCTTTGTCATGATAAATTTCATGGGGCTAGTTCTAATGATGAGATCAAGCAAGCGAGATTAGTCGCAACAACAGCAAACATAGAAACTTTCATTGAATCATGTAAGCACCATTTTATTTTATGCCTTTTCACCATTTTCAGACAGCTGGAAAATTCCTTTTTTAAAATGATCTTTCGATTTGATTTATTCATAAAGAAGTTATCAACATGCTTTTTGACTGTCTCCAGAGAATATTACCCTGTGTAACTCCAAAAATTTTAAAGTAACTTAATAAGATGAAAATATGAAAGGGCAAGGTCTGGTGAATATAGGTGTGACACCAAACATCTCGGCCACCTTCATAACTTTTTTTTATGTGTGTGTAGTATCTGTTGACTGTTTGGTGATTAACAGAGCATGCTTGACTCGTGTAGCTCTTCTCCAAGAAGGCTTAATGTATTTTAGGTGAGATGCATGTTAGCCTCAGAAGAGAAAGGTTGTAGATTTTTCTATGCTGTAGGAGCGATGTACTGCTCTGAGTTTATTAGTGTAGTATGCTGAGAACATTAATTTTACTAAATGTTTGTTTCGTCTTGTTAAATGGTGCCTTATTGAACCACAAAGCCATTACAATGTGACATTCATTAAATTTGAGGTCGAGCATGATCATGATAGACACCTCGAAGATTGGCCATTTCTCGGTGCTTTGCTTTTAAAACTGCCATTTAGAAACAGTATTTTTCCAAATACAGGAAGCATTATTTTTCCGGGATGTGGCTTCCCTCTTGATATTATTAAAAGAAGTTCTTCTGGCTTACCCCATGATCTTTTTCTTTTTATAACATTATTGTATAATTAATTACTTCTTATCTCCTGTAATGAGCCACATATCTGCAGTAATAAGCAGTTTCAAAAAGAAGCTTCTTTAAATTTTCCAGCAAAGAATCACAAGCCAAAATTCGAGCTGTTGAAGTATGGGATGCCCATACATCATAGTAGCGTACATACCCAATCTTCTTTAAATGATCATGGGCTGCTTTTTTTAGAATATGTATTTTGTTTGGTAGTTCCTGAAATGTACAACTTGGATTTCCTGTGACAGCATCTTTTGATAGGTCGTTGTTAACAAAGAATTGTCATGCTAAGTGGATATCACCTTAGAGGCTCAAACTTCTGCTCTTAGGAGCTATCACCTTAGAAGCTCAAACTATTTTAGTGAAATTATATGTGAAATTGTAATATTTTTTGTATAACATGAAAATCTAAAGAAGTGAAACTTTGCCATTAGCATTGAGTAAATGGTTCCAGATTTGGTGAGAAGTCACCAAACTTGGCAACTACTTGGTGACATTTTGATCTGGTCCCCATATAACTGTAATGGTTATTGCAACTGAATAACTAACTGTAATTGATACTTTATGTAGCTGTAATCGTATCCGGCCCTCATATGCCTTACAGTAATTTCAAGAAGTGGAAAGTACTAGAAATCTCTTGGTCTTACTAGAAGTCTAGTACTAGAAGTCTCTCTTAATTTTTTATTATTATATCTCTTGGCCAGGAGAAAACTATATAAAATTGCAGAGAGCAACGGTTTCTCAATAGTTGTTTAGTTCAGCATGAGTTTCGAATATTGAAATATTTAGCTTCACTCTTTTGATATGCTTTCCATTGTGTTATGTTAATTGTTCTTAATAGTTTCAAGTGTAACTACTGATTGTACTCTGTGTTACTGTGAAGAGCTGTACAACTATTTTTGGGGGAAGTTCCACAACTGTGAAGTGTTTCTTTTAGTAAATTATAGATCTGTCGCAGTTCTGTATGCATTAAATCTATTATGAATATGTACAAGCACAGTAATATTTAAACATTAACTTTGATCAAGGTCACGTCATATCAGCAGAAACAAAATAATTTAAAAACTCTCAACATAGGGGAGGGGACACAGAACTTTAATGACCCGATATAATATTTTTTTTTACTTTTGCAACCATACAGATTTGTCTTGATGCTTCAACTGGCTAAGGCTTTTGTTCCAAAACCCAAATTTCCCAATCTCCATGGAAAGTGGTGATTTCTTAATTTTAATACCAGAATGCTTCTGGTTATTTATATCTGGATTTATTTACTTTTAATATACAGCCTTAATTTCTTGGATATATTTCCAGATGCATGTATGTATACTTTCTTAAAACACATCGCACAAAATTATCTTCTCCATGTATATACAGCTGGTTAGAAGGTTAATACAGGAGTGTTTTTAGTATTCCTGACTAGTTAGTGAGCAATAATAAATTGTAATCATTTGTGAATTGGATTATTTTTACTATGGCAACACAAACAAGATCTGTGTAAGGGGAGTTATGCCTTTGTGTAGGTTAACAACTTTGCTAATACTCGATTTTTCAGTTGCTAGCTGGGTCACCAACTTTTACACCATAAGTGCGCATACCTGAAGAATGCCATAATTGCTTACATTTCCCCCAAAAATGAAAACACAGCTGAGAAAAGGCATCAGAGTTAACCTTTTAAATCCAGAAGGTAGTAAGTTATTATTTACCACATTTTAGTTTGAATGCCACTATGATGACTATTAGATTTCTTGGAGCAGGAAACAGGGAAAATGACAATGCATTCTCACTGAGAATTAAATTTCTGATTTGCAGTTGCTGGCTGTATATACTAACTGACATGCCTGAAGTGCATTTATGAAAGGAATACTATAGTTCCAATTTATGAATAAATTATTAAGTCATATTGCAAAATAAAAGGCAAATAGTTTTGAAAACTATAAGAAAGTTAATTACAAATTTCTTGTGAGTCTTTCTATCAAAATTCTAAAATAAGGTTTCCAAAAAAGGTTTCATGTACCTTTTTTTTCCCCTAAGGGTTCTAATCCAAGCCAAGGTCACCTAGACAAAATTTCAACAAACTGTACTTGAAATCTATATTTAAAAATAATAATAATAATAATAATACTTACATGTTGAACACACACACAATAAAAAAAGGGGAAAAAGAAAAAAAGAAAAGAAGAAGAAGAAGAAGGAAAGAAAAGTTACAAAACATTGCATGTCTACACAAAAATAGGCATTAGAAATAGAAGTACAGTCTTGCATCTCTTTTGAAATCTGAACTCTTGTTTCCAATGTTAATGACATAAAAAAGTCTGATGTGTATGCCACATGACTTCCTTGTACGGAATATTAAATTATATGCATTTTTTCTTGCGTAAGTTTAAATAAACTTATTGGATTGAATGAAATCTACTTCATCGATAGCACATAAACCACAATTGAATAAATGCGCTCTTTAAAATTCACTATCTTTGCTTATGATAGTGACACTTTGGCACTTGGTTCACTTAACAGCATTACATTTCATTCATATTATAACTCGGAATGCACAAAATTTATATCATTTAAAGAATTATCTAATCGTTGCCACTCTATTCAAATAATATAATAAATCTAAAATGATATATAAAAGAAATTAAGCAAACAAAGCAAAAAAGAAACAGTTTTTCACAGACAATTGAGTATTTCTCATTCAATTTATTCAGCTCTCACTCCGACAAGGCAAAAAAACATAAAAACTCAAAATATCTATATTAAAAATTACGAAGTAAATCTTAAACACTTGTTTTCTCTAATAAATTCCAAAATGGATTAAACATGATTTAATTCGCAATAATATAAGAAGGCATTATCTTTGTTGTTGCGAAGCTTAGTTTCTGTAGATTGGCAAAAAATCCGCTATTTTGCCAAGTTTAAAATGTAAACCAACATGTCTGCCATCGCAAAATTCATTAGGCTTAGCTGCACTTCAACAACTTTTAAATTGTTGATAACTCCACGAATATTACATGCAGATTTACTAAAGGCATAAAAATCTTAACCTGAAGATAAGAACAACATAATTCAATATTTTTAAAGCAAAAAATGCACAATTTACAAACATATAAGAGTAAAGTAATTAAGATCATTGAGCCGGGTAACAGAGTGAATATATACATATATTGGTACTATTCGGTTTCGAGGGCCGTAAAAATCGCCAAACTATTATTGATGCCAATGCTGCCAAAAATAATTGCGGCAACCCTAACGCAAGAAAGGAAGTGCAATAGTAAATAACTATCTAAGATTGATATTTTAATCTAGATGAAAGGTTAATTTCGTATAATACTTTTTTATTATTATAATTTATATAAAAATTGCTAAACATAACTGAATGGATGCCTGCATCGCTATTTGGCTACCGACTTATCGCTAAAGCATAATTTCATCTCATTAGTTGTTCAAAATTATATTGAATGATGCCTTTTCTTTGAAAATATTCTCGGTAAAGTGCAGAATCGCTCACTTATTTGTTTGCCGCTTTTTACAAGGGTAAAAACATAGTATTTCAATGGCGTCTTAAGAAATATAGAACTATATAAACTTACGCAATCTCAAATCAGCGCGTACGCTAGATTGGCGTGCTGTTAAATGGGCGCGTTTGCTAGATTTGGCGCTTTTGCGCATACATTTTCGCTGCAGTTTTTTACAGTCCTCAAAACGGAATAGTACCCATATATTTCCTAAACAATTCTTTTGAAAACAAACACAAACATGCCTAATTATTTTCGTGCATTAAACTGCAGAAAAATTATCATTAAAGACATAAAGTAGGAAATTTAGAACTAATATTTCACAAAGACCAGAAATTGAAATTCATAATTAATAAATTTCATTGCAACAGTGAATTTAAAAATGTTAAAACTTTTCAAATTTTAAATTTCTTACTTTGTCTTTTAATATACATATATTTATATACTTTTGGTGCAGCCTATTGCAACCAAAATGCGAGTGCACATCTACATGTTATAGCAGTCCTATATAAAAAGTCTACTCAAAATCGAGTAGACTTTCTGAGCCTACTCGATTTTGAGTTTGCAGGATACGTACGTACCTATGCACAGACACCACAAAAAATTCTTTTCAGAAGTCATTTTAAATTGGTTTTATATTTTTTTTTGGGGGGGCAAAGAGTTATTTATTCTGTCCTTACGTAACAGATATCGTGCAAAAACATTATTAAATTGCATTTGATAGCGGTCAAAATGGATATTTTCATTGAAATATGATGCATGAAACTTTTCGCGGTTACAATACTTCCTTTTTACTTCGTATAAGGAAGTAAACAAAGAATAACATTTCATGCCGCATGCCATCTGGTGAAAACAGAATTGTCTACTTTTTTATATTTTTCTTTGGAGGCCATTTTCAACAGTATGGATAAAGTTAATAAAGAAACAAAATAACCCCGCAGAAAGTAATAAGAAAAAAGGCTAGCTTCAGCAAGGTAATTCATTTCAGCTTCAGATGATGAAGCACATTTATATGTATGATGAAGTATGACTACAAAAAGTCCTACTTTGAAACTATGCTCCTACTATGAAAGCAGCTGCTGTTTAAATATGGCTTTAGCATGTCAACATAGAACATTTTATTCATATTTAAATTACCAGGTTAAATTAACTATGAAATTAATCCAAAAGATTCTGTCAAAACTTGGTAGTTTATATTGTTATAAACATGTTTAAAATACGATGTAATGCATTTCTGCACATGAGAAGAATTTTTATTGTGTCATGTAAAATATTGTATTTATGCCTTTTTCTAAGATTTAATTTTGCTCTTCTCCCATAGGTTATGTCCTATATTTCAAGTTTCCAATGTTACAGGAGAGAATCTCAAGTATTTAAAAATGTTTTTAAATTTGTTATCAACAAGGATGCCAAATTCAGATTCTGAGCCATCTGAATTTCAGATTGATGATACTTATTCAGTGCCAGTAAGTTATGTTAAAGTATTATTGGATGTGAGAATCTTGAATTGTGATTATAAAATTAGTGAACTTTACTTATTGGGAGAAAAGCAAATGCAATTGTTTTTTTTTGGGGGGGAGGGAGTTGTAATCGGATTAATTGGATTAGGTGGAGGGAGTCGTAATCGGGTTAATTAGATTATTATTATTATTTGAACATCCAGAAATTTCAAATACACTACAAATGTACAGTGGCACTTATGAAAGTAATTTAAACATCGCATGTAGTAATAAAACAAGCAAAAACTGCGAAAAGCAATCTAGACTTCACAGATCAAGTCAGATCTATCTTTTTTTTTTTTTTTTTAAATCATTCCGTAAGCCTCTTTCCTCTAGAGTCTTCAAAATTAAGACAGAAGAAAGTTAAATATTCCACATACTAAGGTACTCTTTTTTTGAACAATCTCAGAAGGTTCTTGATCTAATGCAGTCTGTTTTAACTCAGAGAAATGAATTGTTAAGTTTAGATTTATTCCCACATAACCTTGTCAGAATTTTTTCCTGTTTTTTAATCAGTTCCTGAATAATTATGAAAGCATGAGTACATATATGTCATATATTAGTGTTTTCCTTGAAGATGTTTTTGTCCCATTTGTCAGGATATAAGAGCCCATTAAAATTCTGTCTTTCAAATTATAAGCAAAAAATGTGCAACATGTAATGTTGTTTGGAGGCGGGGAGGGGGGTAAAGGCTTTAGTTTTAAAAAGAAATGCAAATGCAGTTAAATATAATAAAAATCTAATAATAAAATTTTGGCAGTTCTGGGGCTATTTCTGTGTATATCTGAAAAACAATTTTGTTGATTTATAATGTGATGTAATAATAAAAACTGAAACTACAATACATATACAGTCTAACTGTACTAATGCTTATGTTATTGATCAAAATTATATTAAAAATTGAACTACAGAATGTGAGTATTCTTATTCAGCTTAAGCTGCATTCACACTGGTCCGTTGGGGCATCATGCGTCAAAACGAAAAAAAAAAAAAAAAAAAAAAAAAAAAAAAAAAAAAAAAAAAAAAAAAAAAAAAAAAAAAAAAAAAAACACTTTCCACATACGGCAGTTCACACCAGCGCGGCAACTTTCGCTTTAAAAGTTGTCATATGTTCGCACTAGATGGCGCTTCATATCGAAAATTTGGAGGAAAACGTGAAATTTTTGTGTAGTATTTTGACATTTTACTATTACATTTTTAAATTAAAATGGATGTAATTTCTGGTCAATTAAAACTTATTTTACTTCTTGCTTTGTGTAAGAGAAGCAGAATGCAGTGGTTTATATTAATATGTGAGAGATAACTGCAGTAAGGAGGTGCAAGTAATTTAATTGAAGAAATGCACTTGAATGAAACAAAATTTCTTTTAATTACTTTCGCATGGCGCCTCATCAATTCGATAAATTTCTAGCGCTCATTGAACTATTATTCAAAGGCAGAAAGAATCATTTTGGTAAGGAACAAGATTCCCAGAAAAAGATCGTGTATATATTCAAACGCTGTATAATTCTAATTTAATTTATTTAGGAATTTTTGTTGATGAAAATTAAAAAAATCCTAATTGTATGATTCTATTTTGGAGAGTAAATTTTTCATGTGGTAGAATACCGTAAATGTTTTGCATGATGTATAAAACTTTAATTTAAATGCTTCTTTAAATAAAAAATTCCTTAAATTGGTTTAATAAGCAATAAAAAAAAAGTATTTTGTTTAAATATGTGGGATATACAGCATTACTAAATTAAATATCACACTTTAAAAAAAGCAGTTTTTTTAAAATTAAAATGATTTTAGTTTCTCCCTTAAATTTTTTTACTTATTACATGTACATATTTTTTTTAAATGTACATATTTTTTACTTAAATGTTACTTCATTAGTCATCATATATTAAGGAAAGCACATCTAAATGTTATTTTATAAGTCACTTTACCTAAAACTCATTGAAGTAATTGAGTTTTATATAATAATTCTTTTCGCGTTAAAATTTGAATTCATAATAGCAAATTTGCTAATGCTCATACAAAAGTTTTTTAAATTAACAAAAAATTATCATCAAGATTAAACCTGTTGAAGCATGCATGTTAAAAAAAAAAAAAAAAAAAAGAAAGAAAGAAAAAGAAAAATGAAGCCATTAAAATGCGTAGAAATATTACAGGAAATCAGATACATGCTAGTGAGCTTCTTTTCTGTATAAATAACAGTTTTCTTATTTTTTTTTTTTTACTCGTCACACTCGTTTAAAAGGAACCGCTAATTTTAATTAGATTGAAACAGCAACTTTACTAATACCAGTATCGCTTTGGTAGTCTTTCGTGTCAGCCAAAAAAGAACAGATCATAGTGTGAGATTTTGAATTATACCAAAGGCTCGTGTCAAAGAAGATAATGCACACAATGCCGAATGAAAATTAAGTTTGCATGAATGATGAATGAAATAAAAAATAAATGCAAGTTTCTTGTCTTTTTACTTGAGCCCCCCAATCTTTTACTTGAGCATGTTACTTCCTCACTACGATACCTTACAGGTAAGCATCATTTTCACCTTCAGGAAACTGAAGAAGCATCTGGGCTACTCTGAAACTAGCCATAATATTTTCTGTAAATATTTTTTTTTTTTTTTTTTTTAAATACCAATTCCATTACAACACCACTATCCATCACTATTTTCTCGCAACAATCTATTGCTTTAGATTATTCTGTAAAAAATATCAACCATATATCATTTATGGTATATTATTAAGGTTTATTACTACTAATAAACTTGAAAATTCTCCTTTAAATAATTTATAAAACTATTTATTCTATTAGCGTATGCATTTATGTTATTTAATCTGAAATTTTTATTATTAGTTCATTCCTCCCCCTCCCCCATCAAGAAGACTTTTTTGAAAGTGCAATCATTTAAAAACCATGGTATAAACTGGTCGTTTGAAACGAGATGCCTGAAACTGATGCGTCAAGCGTCAAAAAGTTGAGTCAACTTGCGTGGTCTCCAGCCAACCGGCAAATGCTGCTTCTGAACTCGCTTCTGATTGGTTAACGCGTGAATGCGTGACCGCATTGGTCTGAACACAGCTTTAGAAGTTTTAGAACTATTATACTTCTAAGCTGAATAAGCTGACTGCAACAAGTCTTTTCCTATAAGCTTTCATTGTCCACTTGCTTAATGGACTTAGTATGGTACCAAAAAAGTCATTGTGGAATATTATAATGATTTATTTCTTCTCCCTTGCTGTAGTAGTTCTGCTTTGCAAATTTTGCAAGTGTATTTAATGCTTGGCAGCCATATTCCAAGTGAATGTTTAGTGGAATGTTCCTCCCCCTCCATTCTCTGGGGTGGTTTTTTTTTCTCGTGTGACCGACCGATCAACTCCAGTGATGAAAAATGGTAGAGAGACTTTGCATTTCTTGTCGTTATTACAGGTCATCTGAATACTGCTTACTAGGAAAAGATCTACTTGTTCATAATCTTTATTACTGTGTGAAAGCTTTTGAGACGAAATTAATCCTGTGGGAAAGTCAGTTGCTAAATAAGAATTCCACTCACTTTCCAAAATTGATGGAGAGTGTGAAGAACTCTACAATATTTAATTCAAATAATTATGTACAATGTATTTCAAAGTTGAAAGAGGAATTCAAAAGCAGATTTTAAAAGTAAAATTTAATTACTCAAAGAATCTAATTAAGCGCGGACGCAGAATTCATTAAACGGTACTACTTGTTACAAAAATACATCTAAATTTCTAAACTTTCCTAAAATAATAAACACTAAAAAAGATCGAATTCATAAAAGGACACAAATTAATGAATAAGAAATGGAAAAGAAAAATGTGATTTAATTATTAAATATACTATTTAGTTTACAAATAAAATGTAAGTACCATAATGTTAAAGTGGAAGGGGGGAGCAAACGACTAATAGCTACTAAGCTAAACACTTAGAATAGAATATATCTGTCTTATTTCCTTTTCGTGGCCAAGAAGTTGTCCCAAAACAAGATATACTTATTCTTAATATATATGCACAAAATATAAAACTGCTATCAAATGGCCTGTAGTAGAATAATCTGTTGTTGCAAATTTCATGACCTATGTTAAAAGAAGTGCTACTTGGCTTGGTGTTATATCCAAGTGGTGGAAAATTTAGCTCAAAAGGATGAAAATAACGTGCAAAGAAACAAGTAATATTTTTTAAAAAAAATTAAAGTCAATTCCTGCTAGGTCAACAAAGAAAAATTTTATTTTAGTTAATTTTTAGTAAAATTATTAACATTTTTTCATTTCTAATTTATGAAGCTGATGGTGGTCTATAATTTCTCATTCTATCCATCTCTTGTAATGCTTCATTATGCATTGTATTCTAGTTTCTTTTAATCAGGTGGCATCCACTTTAAGTTTAAAAAAATGTATTTGAACTTGAATGGATGAATAAAAAATATTTTATTAATGATTGAAAGTTTGAACAAGATATAGGGAGAGTGTGAGCTAATAGTAGGAATTTAAAAATTGCATAAAACTAAAAATGAGGGTTCACTTACCCTCTCCACCTCCCCCCTCAAAAAAAAGTCATAAATCGCAGCACTTGGATTATGAAGTTGTCCTTGGTAGTCAATGGAAATGCTTTTAGTACAGAGTGTTGTCGTATAATGTCTGCATATTGTTAATATTTGTTGCACAGCAATTCCTGATATAAGGAATCCTTACTTGACAAATGTTTTGTATATTTGTTATAGTTAATCATCTGACAGCTACACAATGACCCTGGCAACATCTCTATATAAGCACAATGATATTAACAGCTAACAGCGACAGTTGGAGTTGACGGAATGAGTTGAGACCATTATATATACGTATTGCATCAGTGGATTCCAAGTATTATTGGATCAGCTTAGTACCATAACAAAGAAACATTGTTGTCTGCCAAATGAAATCCAGAACCAAATACACCTCTGAAAACTTTCAGTATTAAAGCATTCCTTTTATATTTCAGCTATATTTTATAAAGCCCATCTGAAATCAAAATAGAATAACGACTGTTATACTTTTTACATGTTTATTACCAAATGACACACTTATAATTACTGAGTCCATATGAAGAATACATAGTTTTATGTAGGATGTGTAGGTTTCTTTTGTAAGCATTTTTGCAAATAAAGTTGAGCATTGTGATGTCATGATTACTGGATTAGTGGATTTAAAGAGAGAAATCAAAATGTTATTTTCTGTCATTAGCTGTGCAGGGAATTTGGATCTGTTTCTTAAACTATTGAAGCTTGATATCACAAAATATTGTCAGATTTAAAGCCTGAATGTACAGAATATGGTTCAGGAAATATGTGTAATGAAAATGCCAGTTAATTTTTCTGAATGATACCTAATAAGTCTGTCATTTATAACAAGGTGTATGTATCACAATGGAAAAAGTAGTAAAGAACACTTTGCACTCTATAATATAGTATGGATAACAGAAAAAAAACAATTGCAGTTGGTAAATCTAAGAAGTCTTGGTGTTTGGAAAGGTTTCTTTTATTATGTTGTTGTTGTTTCTGAAATAAAAAATATTTGAGCTTCTTCTGTATTTGAAGTCTAATTGAGAGAATGGGAAGAGGGACAAAACAGAATTCTCATTTCTAATGATAACTAACTGTACTATGATTCTAAACTAATGAGTGGACTGTATAGCAAAAGAACTAATTTATTGACAGTAATTAACTAAATTCAGATCTATTACATGCTCTGGCATGTTGCTTAGCTGAATCCAGATGGCCAAATGAGAGTTTCTCTCCCTATCCAATAGGTGGCACTGTATTCTAACTTAACACTAACCTTAATTTTGTTAAAACCTAAATGTAATTGAGTTATTGGCTTTGTTCCCAAATATCACTTTGCAGTTGCATCCTTTTGATAGAGGCATAATTTGATTATTTACAGCATTTTTCTGGACAAGGTAATGAAGGCAATTTTTTTTTCAGCTACTTAAATCACTTTTGAATTTAAACATGTCTTTTAGAATTTAATGGGATCTACTGTAATGAAAATTGTTTCCCTTATCAAGAGAATCCTGAATTGAAACTCAAATGTAGAGCATAAAGTATGAGCTCAAAAATATGCAAAAGTAACAAAATTTTGAAAATTTTATCGGAAATATCATCTAAACTTAGATGCAAAAATTTTGGCTTAATTATATTCTGCTGTAGTAAAAATAGAAAAAAAAAATGAAGAGCAAGAGGAATAGTACCAAAATTACTTTATTGCAGATGAAACCATGTAGGGTGAGCAAAGAGTATAGAAATAAAGAGAGGAAAAAATTAAAATGACACTGTTTAGATTTATTTGACAAAATGGACCAGACCATCCTCAAAATCTCTCACAGAACACAGTATGCATTTATGTAGCTTTAAGGGAGCAGAATTTAAGCTTTTTTAATCTTAGATAATATTGATTAAAATTCTCCAATATATACAGCATCAAAGACTGACAACGGATATATATATAATATATATATATTAGAATTGAAACAGTAGTATCTCAAGCTGAGTAGTTGGAGTGAGTTAATATAGCTCTTGAAAAATTGATCAAATTTTAAAATTTAAGGATGAATTTAAGGGCAATGTTTTGAGGATTGAAAACTGCTAAAATCCTGAAAGCAAGTTTTTTTTAATACCAACTTTTTATGTATTTGGTATCATCCTTCAGAAACATATGATATGGGGGAGGGAAAATATTCTTGCTGTTTAGTAAAGTAAAACAAAATTGTGTATCTAGATCATGAATGTTGTCTTTTTCTATGTAGATTTCGAAAAAATAATGTAAATCTTAGGCCCCTGCAGTTCAGTATAAGCAGGAGTGGATGTTTGCCATCAGCATTATTAGTTTTTATGCATATTCATGGAAAATCTAAAATTAATGTTTAAAATTTTATAGAAAATTCTAAAATTTTTATGTTATTTCAGGGTGTTGGAACAGTCGTTTCTGGTACAACACTAAAAGGCACTATTAGATTAAATGATACTTTAATGCTGGGGCCTGATCCTTTGGGGCATTTTCAAGCAGTTGCAGTGAAATCAATTCATCGAAAGCGTATGCCTGTGAAAGAAGTTAGAAGTGGACAGACTGCTTCTTTTGCTTTAAAGAAGGTACTAAGTGTTAATACGTAATTGTTATGTGTTATATTTAATGAATTGGTAGTACATTTTAAATACTAATGTTTGTTCATGTATACTTAAGATTAGAAGATCCGATATCAGGAAAGGTATGGTTATGGTTTCACCTGCATTAAATCCTGAAGCGTATTGGGAATTTAAAGGTGAAATTTTAGTCCTTCATCACCCCACCACCATCAGTCCACGTTATCAAGCCATGGGTAAAAAAAACTTTTTACATTTTTCATCACTTTAGTCATGTAATAATACACCAAACATAAAAACAATCAAAATAAATTAACATTTTGAAATATGAAGTTAGGCAAAAAAGGAAAATTTAATTCAGAAATCTTTGTTGAAAATAATCACATTGATCTTCTGTATTTATGAGAAGAAGGATAAGCATCATATAAATTATTTTACTTTAAAGTGCAAATGGAATGTAATATTTCTATATGTGGTTAAGTATAACTGTTTAATGTTTGTATTTTATATAATTCTCTGTAAATAAAAAATTTTCGGTGTTCTAATCTAATTTATATACTTATGCTGATTTTTTTATTGCAATTGATCAAAAGATGTATATTTTCAGCATTGTAGTAAAACAAAATGATGTTAATCACCAATACAAATGCAGCCAATCATTCCGTCTCTTATTTGTAGCCTTTAATTGTATGAGAAATTAAGGTTCTTTCATTTTGCTTGAAATTCAAAACAGTTAAATACAGTTTTTGATTATGTTTTATGACAGATTTTGGTAATTAATTTAATGATCATAAATGAATGTTAATGTAACACCATAAAGTTCTAAAATTTCTGCATATATTCATGACTGATTTAAGAAAGATAAATTCCACTTCATAAGAGACATTTAAGTAATTTTATTAGAATGTAGTTTTTTCTTTCTTTAATTTATTGCAAGCATAACTTTCATTACAAGTAAAAGATTACTATATATCTAAATTTCTGTTCTTTTTTAAAGTGTTTAGTCTATATTCTTAAATGCTTATTGCGAACTAGATCTTATATCTTTTCCAGTTCATTGTGGGAGCATTCGTCAAACAGCGTCTATCCTCAGTATGTCTATGGAGTGTTTAAGGACAGGGGATAAAGCACTTGTTCATTTTCGTTTTATCAAAAATCCTGAATATCTGCGTGTAGGCATGCGCATGGTATTTCGGGAAGGTCGAACGAAAGCTGTTGGCAACATAGTGTTACTCATACCAAATGCCACACCTGCTAATCTGGTTACGCGCTCGAAACCAAACAAAATGCGGCCATCTTCATCAAGCCCCACGGAAAATGCTGGCAAGCCAGAAAACGAACCTCGTAAACCAAGTAAAAGAAGCAGAGGACGACATCGAGGCAATAGAACTTTTGTACGAATTCCTGTGTAAATAACTGTAAAACATTTGTGAAATAACTTCTGTACATGTACTTCGCTGTAGTACAAATGCACAATGTTGTTTTTATCATGGATTTTATTTTTTCCTAAAGTTCACATTTTAAATTTTAAAGATTATTTCCAATGTTCACAAATCTTTCCGCTGATTCCATCTTTCATCAGAAGGGTTGAATGCTTTGATATTATGCTAGATTTTAGCCATTGTAGAGAAAAGATGCCAAACAGTTATAAATAATATTCTGCAACAGTCTCACAGAGCAGTTTGATGTATTGAAATTATATCTCATTTTATTCAATATAACTCTTAACATTTTTATAATCCTAATTAGCATTTTATACTGCAAGTAAATTAAAATGTGTTAATAGGATATAAATTGCTGTAGGATGCTAATTTTAAAGCAGATGTATACACTAATTTTATAAGTACTGTTTATTATGGGAAAAGATAAAGTGGTGAAATTTAAGATATCCTTCTTAATCTTTTTTTATTATTAATATGTGATTATCTTAAGCTAAATAATTATCATTTTGTTTGGTTTGTTTGAATGTGACAGAGTAAATAAGGGCTGTCTGCTTAAGGGCAGGAGTAAGGAAAATTGTCTCAAATCCACGTTAAACATGAGGAAAATGGCAAAAACACCCATGTAGCCAGTCCATTTGCGGGGGTTTGTGCCCATGCCGAACTATCAGTATACAGAAATTTTAATGTTGGGCCGCTGGTTAGCCATATAATCAATAAAATTTTTGAGTTTGAAGTAAATATTCTAGCAAAACTTTTTACACACATTTTTATATAACCATTTCAAACACTTTTTTTATTTGCGTCTTACATTTTTGTGTGTATTTAAATAATGTAACCGTTCTAAAATTATAATTACTGAAATTTCAATGCTCTAAAAGTTATAACTTATTTTTTCTGAAACTTCCGTCCTGCATTATATTAAAATCTTAAGTTCATGAAAAGTGGAAAATTTTAGTGATGTGTATTATTAATTATATTATTTTACTTTAATAAAAAATGTGTTTGGCCTTAATTTTAATTGAATAAAAACTTGAGTATTCAAGGAAAATATAATTTCTTTGCTTAATTTTAGTACAAAAAAGTAGAAACAAGATTTCATCTTAGTTTTAAGCCATATATAAATGAAAATTGATTTCTTTATTTTAATTTAGTAAAAACAGTAAAATGTGTATTTAGGTAGATAAATAAATAAAATTGTATTGTTTTAATATTGTCAGAAGAAGTACATTTTATACTACATTTGATAAGTTATAAAAACACTTTTTTTTAATTCTGTAATAGATTTTGAAATAAAGAAATATAAACAATAAATAAGTAAATAAAATGTATACTAAATATGTATTTGGCATATAGAAAAACCCAATTATCAGAATTTTCTGAATATCCAAATGAGTTTAGATTTTAGTTCGTGTGGATATTTATAGTTCAACTTTAGTTATTTTCTGTGTAAAATTATTTTTGCACAGCTGGTGAAAAACACGAAATCCTTTACTATTAAGTAATATTTATGCATTTTTCCTTATAGTTTACTAGCAAACCTTTCAAAAAGTTTTCTTGAATTTCAGTTTCTTAATGAGTTTTCATGTTTTAATATAAGTTACATCAAATGTTTTTTTTAAGTTTTTCTGTATATTCCCTCAATGATGGGGGAGGCAAGGAATAAAATTAATTCTGTAATCACAAATAAAGGTTTTAAGTAACAGTGAGAAGTTTTTCAGCATGCATCCGTATGGATCTTGTAACTTTTGTAAAGTTTCACAAGCTCTTTAAAGAAACTCTTCATCCTTCTTCTAAACATATAAGAAACTCCCTCTAGTAACAATAGTTATGCATGAAAGCACTTCATTGGATACTCAAAACCGCTCTTCGTATGCTTAAAACATTTTAAAATATTAAAAAATATTTTTTTCTTTGATTCTATTTGGAATTTTTTATCATTATGATTATTTTTGATTTTGTTCTGATATTTTTATTATTTTTGAAATTTTTTGTTCTGAAACTATATACATATTTTAGAAATTTGTTAATATTTCGATTTATTTTTAGGAAAAAACCATCTTAAGTAAAATTCTAAAAGAAATTATTATTAACAGTCTTTCCTTATTTATCTAAATTCAAACATTTGTAATTTTTGTTTCTGCCAATTTTTAAAATTTAAAGTAATATTGAAGAAGTTTAAATCTAATGCAAATTAGACATCAGTGCAGAGTAAAAGTATTCAATTAAAAATATGCAGAAATTTTTCAATAAAATGTATTGCTTTTGCAGTTTTAATTTTTGAATGTAAAGCTTTCTACTGTCTAGAGAACTATAGGTAGGCCTGAGAATATGATACAATTGATTTTTGTTATTTTATGATTAAAACACTGACCTGCAAATCAGGAAACATTAGACCTGATTCTTAAAGAAAAAGTTAATGTTTTGGGTGAAAAGACTTATGAATAAAAAGTGGGTATTGTGCAAAGAATACTTAATTATGCTTATAGTTGTGTTAGATGTATGATGAAGTAATTGTACTAAAAATATGTAGTCTATTTTTTTATCCTTTTGGATTTGAATATCAAGCAAATTATTTATATTTTCTGAAAAAACATTATCATTGTACATCTTATTTCTTATTATCTATTTTTTAGAAATGAAAAAAATTACTTAACCACACTATAATTTCAAAACTACTTTGTATAATATCAGTTGCTTTTAATCAAAGAAGTAAAAAATAATTTCAAGCAGTTGGCCTTTGTTGATGTTGAATCTGAAATTGATAATAATATGCACCATTAAGTGGTGGATTGTAACTCCTCAGAGATTGTGACTGAGACAATTGATTGCTTGAGAAAGAGTAGGGCACTGTTGATTGTTGAAGTTGGGGAGTTCCTTCTGCTATTGGATACTGCTGTTGAGGAACTAAAGGAGCTTGAGGATAAATAACAAAATATTGCTGTGAATAAGGACGATAGCCTGGTGCTGGCAGTTGTGGGACTAAACTTGCTGCTGGTGGCCTGCTTGCAACAGCTGAAACATAACATTAAAAATTATCATTTGGTCAACAATTCTAACTGCAATATAGGTTGATACATGAAACACACCTTATACTTTTTATATTTGTTTCATGATAATTGCTTGGAGTCTATGATTACCTATATATTTCACTAGTTTTTATAAAGTAAAAAAAGGAATTTTCAGTGATTACTAATAAACACCAGTATTATGATTTTCAGCACATAGTTTTGATATACAGTCGAAAGTTGTTAATCCGGACTCGTCGTGACTTCGGTGATTCCGGATTATAGATCATCAGTTTAAATCTCGTAAGATGGCATGCAGAAATTCTAAAATAAAAATATGAAACATAATTTATGATAAAGACCAATTATGATCTAAAGGGTATCAAATTTACAAAAAAAAAAAAAAAAAAAAAAAAAAAAAAAGCAGCTTAAATTTTTTGTTATTTTATTAAACATTTCTTTCAATGTAAGTTGTTTTAGATTGCTTCGTTTATGTATAATACTTTCTCTTTAATTCTATAAACAAGATAATTTTTTGTTCATTCAAAGTTCCGGTTCAAGTCTGTTATTGCTGTGCCGAGGAGACTGACTACTTGGTCAATCGAAATTTTTTTTTTTTCATAACCTCTCTGTCCATTCTTCTGTCTTTCTCCATTTTTGCAGCAATACCACTTTTTTTTGACGGACATCGAAAATACTTCGTTTGTACATCCTTGGGGCTCCAGAATCGGAAATCTATTTGACATATCGAAAGTTCAAGTTTCTTTTAAAATTGCTCTTACAGTCTACAAAAAGAATAACCCGGATCCAATTCGAAGATTAAGGAAAACCAATCATCCAACATTAATGAAAGAGATAATTAGATATTTAGCTTATACCATCCGTTTACATAAAACGCGCTTGTGAAAACGTGTTCTGCGCGTGCGCACATGCATATGCGCGTGTAAGGTCTTACACGCAGCGTAAACGCCTTGCACATTGTCACGCGGTGGATGCACGAAGTTTTAGCTTTATGTCCGGATTATGGGTGTCCGAATTAAGGACTTTTGACTGTATGTAAAAACTTTTGGTACTTTTCTGTTAATAGGCTGCCAATCAACAAATATGGTAGCCTATTTATATCGCATCCCGAATACCTATGCAATAAATATCACTCCAAATAAGTAGGAAGAGGTATTTTCAGTTTTTTAAGCGGATGAATTTGCAGCTACTGGGTATGAACACATGCAAATTAACGACAAATATACGCTTTTACTGACCCTGATATAGGACATGATGCGAAAAATAATGAAATATATAATAGCACAGCACTGCACTGGCCACAATGGTGGCAGTTGCATGAAAAGATGCAAATGTTTTCAGCAGTGTTAAATGAATTGTCAGTTTTATGCCTCCTGTGTAATATGAAATTAATCCTGTAAAATATATTTTATATTTGTTCCTATTTTTTGTATTTATTCAGGGATTTAATAAACTAATCATTCTTTTCATAAGAATTTACATATTGCTGGGGTTACCAACATGTAGTTTAATTTTGCACCAATGTTTAAAGTTAGCATAAAATGGCACCACATTAACAGAAAAGTACTGAACTTTTTTAGAAGAGATAATTAAGTCAGTAAAACTCAAAAATGTTTTTTGGTTTATTTATAAATGTAGAATTACATTCAGTATCACACTTATCAGTAGATAGTTTTATACTGAGATAGAAAACTATGAAATTTTTTACTTAGCAGAAATGTTAATAATTTTATCATCTTTTCATTTTGATTTATTTATTTCCTCTGTTATGAAGAAAATAACTAGCACAAAAAAGTTACCTCAGAATAAAATTAACAGTTTATCATTAGGATTCTGATTAGAATAATTGGACTGTAACTTTAAATTATGACATTTTCAATTTCATGTATTTTAAATGCAGTGAGACAAATTCAGACTTATCATTTATTGTCATAAGTGCTGTGTTTTAATATGGTATATTTATTCACATGAAAGGTATATTATTTTGCTAAAACTGCATTTACGTAAGCATTTAAATTATTTTATACTTTTTCAGTTTCATTATCATCTACAGATCTGTCTTTGTTTACTGTGGACTGATATTAATCCACAAAGCACACGATTTAACTGATAATATGTTCTGTGTCTTTTCAAACTGTATCTAAAACTCGTAACTGATTTTCACATTAACAGTTATCAAAATAAAAGGCTTGAAGAATATTGAATGCAAACTTCAAAGAATAAGTTGATCAAAGAATAAGTTTAATGAAGAATAATGCACTATCCCTGCATTTAGAAGTAGTGTGCATACTGTGATTTTTCTGCAATTTTAAATTGCTGAATTATTTGTTGAGATTTATTTTGCTGAGTTAAAGTAAAATTTTTTAATTTGTATTTCTGTATCGTAACTTCATTTCATAATTGTGAGTAATAGATTGAGATTTAACTTTGAAGATTTAATAATTGGAATGCATGAAATAGCCTGCAAAATGCCATTTACAAGTACATATGTTAAAACTACAATTACACTATTCCTAAAATATCCCCCCTGCTGCTTCAGAAATGAAATAAGGTTTCTTTTCCTAAATTTTAACTCCTGAGTCTGAATATGTACTTTGTTTTCTTATTTTCTAAGATTGGCTCTTGTGTAGAAGTTAAAACAATATTTGGCTCTTGTGTAGAAGTTAAAACAATATTTGTGTTACAGCTTGTCTATTTCACACAAGAAACAAAAGTGTTTGGGGTAATCCTTTTGTAATTTCTGCAAAATTGCAGTAACCTTTAAATCGTATATTTCCCATCCAAATCTATCATGCTCTAAGTATTTTCCTTCATATTCTCTTAAATTTTTTAACGGCAACTGCTTAGGCAATAGGCATTTAAAGAAGAACATAACAGTATGCAGGATAATAGTTTCAGAGAGAACTTGGAAGAGTTGATAAAAGGTCTCCAGTTTTCTGTTTTATGTATTAATTCAAAAAGGTCTTTGATGTCATGCCACACAGTCAGGTTCTAGTTTGTTTGAAAAAAAAATAATTAGGGAAACTGTCTGTCTAGTTGTTACTTTCACAACTGTCTGTCTAGTTGTTACTGTCAGAATGTTGTTACTTTCACAACATTCTGACAGGAATCTCGCTGTAGCCATGAAGTTAACAATTCAGATTTAATTTTTCATAAATTCTAAGTCTCTAATTAGGTCATTTAATTTGATCTGCACTATTTTATGTTGTTCACCAGTGTCTAAACATGGGGAGATGTCAAAGGCTGTTTATATCCTCAGTATCATCTTCATAGTATCTCTCTACAATGAAATATTGTGGGGGTTTTGTTACTGATACATTAGGACTTCAGGCAATTGGACACCTGCCTCAGACCTGATTGGGGTACAGCAAAATATTTTTTTATCATCATGTTTGGTATATCCCTTGCAAGCAGGTGGTACTAAAAAGTCTATATGATCAAGAAATTCTCCCTACATCATAGACCCTCCACCTGTGTACATTTATTTTTAATTCGATTAAAATCAGTAAAATAACTAGGCTTGTGTACACTGTCCTGGGAAAAAAAATTCGCTTATTTCATCCTAATTTTCCAGGTTTCAGGGCTGATTTTGCTCGTTTTATGTAGCTTGTATTGAAGGCGCACGCTGTGCCCCTGATTAAAATTACCTATATTAATCAGAACGAATCATTACTCTATACATATTTCTACAATTACTGCCATATTACTGTGACATTGCGGGAAGCTCAATAGTATTCCTCTATAAAATCAGATTGCAATAGATAAGCACTTACCTCCGCTTTTATTTATATCGAAGCAAGAGCCAACCTAATTTAATCTATATTTTCGTGATCAGCACTTCCATATTAATAAAGATTGTTCACTTGGAACAAAATGGATATAGAACAGTGTTATTAAGAACATAAGGAAATTATTTATCAAAATTTGTTCTTTCATCTTATGAACTTTGAAAAATGCTTCCCTTTACCATGATATATTTCGTGTATTTGATTATAATGGAGAATTTGAACTTCCCACTTAAAAAGTTGATAACCGGAGCTAGCAAAATATTGTTTTCCATATATATATATCAAGCTGCAGCTATTAATAACAAAAATGATCAAAAAGAAGAATCTGATCGACAAAATTTTATGGTTATTTTGTTATTGAAATTATTAAAAGGAGTTAAGTAGAAAAATTTCTAAAAATTTCTTACAGGCTGTAGTATATATCTGCTGTTGTTGAATAGGTGCAGATTTTGTCCTTTGGCTAGATGGTGTACTTTCACATTCCTGTAAAATATATTAATGTTGAGAAATGTTAATTTCCTTTCATTGAATAAGAAAAAGAAATGTAAAACTTCAATTGAATTTAGTTATAAAAGAAATGATTGCAATAGTTATTTTTGGAATAATTCCAAAAGCAGTATGTCTTAGTATTTTGTTTTCGAGCTTTCTGTTTAATAATTTTATGTTTTTCCCCTTTTAATTTAAAAAAGGTGTGTTCATTTTTTCCTTTATGATTATATAGGGTGTTTCAGAACTCAACATACAAACTTGAAGGGTAGGTCTGTTAGAAAATACGATTTCCGTCATCACTGATTCTGGCTCTGCATTGTTGAACCTCAATCTCCCTATTGGACAGGAGGTCGGGAAAATTGTCAAAATGCCCCCAAGACCACGAAGGGAAGCCTATTAACCCTTAGCGCTCCGCTACGGAGCCGTCCGTCATTTGTTCCGTAATCCCGTAGGCTCCTAAGATGTTATGGAATCGTCGGCATCGTCAATTGTTATCTGTAGTTAAAACGTGCTGTCTCGCTACTGTTACGATTGAAACATTATTTGACCCATTTTATGGTTAGTAATGAAAAAATAAGTATTTTGAGAGATATAGAGTTGAGTGATAGTGAAGATGTGTTTGATTTTTCATCGTTAGAAGATATGTGGAGACAATGTTGATTATAATTCTGACACTTCAAGTAGTGGTTCCGAAATTATACTACCAAAGAGACGACGAATAGTGTATTGAAAAGGAAAGCGAAGAGTGCCGGAAGACTTAGATGAATGGCGCGATGTCACGGAAGAATTAGATATTCCGATAGAGTACATTTTTTGTGTATCGCCAAAGGTCATGGGACCACAGATTTCTACAAATATTGTACAGCCGACACATATTTAAATTTTATTTTCACAAACGAAACTGGTAAATGAAATTATAAAAGAAACCAACAATTACGCAGGAAATGTCTGAAGAAAAAAAAATCTAGTAATTCTATTTGGAAAACGCGGCGTGCGGTGGAAGAGGATGAGTTTTGGCTTTATTGGAGTATTATATGGGTACGATACCCCTGGCGAAGATGCAGATATTGTCAGTTAAGGAAATAGTCACATCCCTTTCTTGGTAAATATTTTACAAGAAAGAGATTTATGCAGATATTCTGGATGTTGCATTCCGCTGCGAAAATGTGACGGAGTTGCTGGTAGGCAGTGGTACAAAAACGTGCGGAGCGCTAAGGGTTAAAATACCGCAGCTCTGGTCGTCATGCTAGCCCATTCGGATGGCCGAAGCCACAGCCGCCAGGAACAGCATTGGCTGCCCATCTGGCGATAGGTACCGGGTTCGTGTTTACAGTAAGTCACTGCACGCAACTCCCGGGGGGGTGAAAGGAAGTGAGAAAACGTCTATAGGATTCGAATCACATAGGAAACCATGGTCCCAGATGGATAGGTGGGGCTATAAGCAAGATCTCTAGGTCAGCACTCTCAGTTTTTCCTATTGTAGGCGATGACGGAGTAAGATGAACATGCATCATTTTAAGTGATATTCACTTTGTTTATGGCCTAGTTAATGGAAATCTACGCGCGAAATCGAGAAAGATTTCCAATGAGGGTAAATATTACATCACCAAATATTCGCTCATATGCACCAGAACATATGTGAACGTGATGGACTTGCGGATATGACCAATATGAATAGAAGGCCTTTTGAATGCCCTGGACGAAATCGCGGCACCACTGTACGTGTCAACTGTGCGGCGTCTTCCGCATAGCGAAGGTTTGCATCCTTTTCATCTTTAAAGAGTCCACGCACCGCAGGCGATAGATTATCTTCGACGTGTAGCGTTTGCACAGTGGTTTCTACAAAAAAGTGTGCCCGAACGGCACTTTGAAGCTCCCGCTAAATGTAAAGAAAAAAATAGCAAAAATCTCCTGATCTTCCGGCATGCCCTATCAATGATGCTAAAGGAGGATAAACAGTTCCTCCTCTTTATCCGATATACTGTTTCGTTCACTGATAAAGCATTCTTTAGACGTTAGGGGGTGTTCAATACCCACAACACGCACATGTCCCCCGTGGACAATCGACACGGAACCAGACTAAATGCCTCTCTGCTGTTATGGTGTAGGCGGGAATCGTGGCTGCCTTTTTGGTCGGCCCGTACATCTTACCACCTCGAGTGAACGCTCACAAGTTTCTCATATTTCTGGAAGAGGTCCTTCGGGAATTGCTGACAGATGTTCCTGCACAGATTACGCGTCGAATGGTTTCAACACGATGGGAATCTATCTCATTATGAAATTTCCGTACGTAACCGTCTGGATAAGACATTTGAAGTAGATGAATGGCCCCCAAGATCACCTAATCGCCCGTTGATTTTTAATTTTGTGTTGCCATGGAGGCCATTGTCTACGAAACGCGATTAGATTCTAAAATGGGCCTTGTTACAAGAATAGCCATTACTGCTGCTGCGATCCACGAAACGTTCCGTATTTTTTAACATGTTCGCCAGTCCATCCAGCATAGGTGTCAATCGTGCATTAATGCCGATGGGCGGAGAATACCTCCTATAATGCTTCTACTACTACTTTCTTTATTGGGGAGGGGGGTCTAATATAGCGCTTAATACTGCTTTTTGTATTGTGTTGTTGCTTTGTCTTTGTCTCTATCGCTTGAGGGTGCCATCTATGACCCTGCTTTCTTACGTGATTCTGATTCCTATTGATGTTTTCTACCTCCCCTTCCAAGTTTGGATATGGAGTTCTGAAACACCTTGTATATTATATTTCTCAGACTTGTGACTTGCTTTAGCTTTTTGCTTTTGAAATTATTCTAAAACCAAAGACAGGAAACCGTGCAGATTGTCTATTTGTAAAAATTCTAATTTCTATCAGCATAAACTTGGGAATAAAAACGTTTTTCATATTCTTTTTACAAATTTTTTATCAGCTTTGAGTGGTGAACATGCAACAGTATCATCGTTACTATTCTTTTTCATCAAGATCTCGCGTAAGTCCTACAGTCTTGTTCTTGTCTAATATTTCCTCTCTGTCTTCAAGTCATGCCATGTAAAGTGCTGCTGTAATTTTCGACTATACGCTTTTAGCTTATCATTTAGCGCCTTCCAGTTAGGAACCTGTAACATTGTCACTATAGATCTATGGCTCTCAAAACCCGAAAAAAAAATGCATTCATTTATTTAAATATAGATTAATTTTCATGTGTTTCATAAATTAAAAAATTAAAGAAAATGTTGACATGTACTAAACAAAAAAAAAATGTAGTAAAAAGTAGGTATTTATTATATTAATAAAACTAGAACTAAATACTTAACAAGTAAATAAAAGGCTTACCACATCCCTCCCAAAACTATGAAATTCCCCCCTGGGTGGTGGTGGTGGGGACACCTGATGTCTAACATAGGTAAGCAGGTATATGTCCCACGCCCTCTTTTAATCCTCTTTTAGTAACAGCTCTGGATTGGACAGTAAAAAAAGAGCCATCCCGTGAGTTTATATATTTTAAGCACGATATTTTGCATAGCTATTAGTTTTTACATCGGTAATAGTAGCTTTCGTAGTACAGAGTGGCATTCACATTGAATTATAAAACATAGCATATACACATACATCATAAACTATACATAACTTAAACATACACATACAAGGACTTACAATACGTATATACACATAATATAAAAGAATTAAACAAGAAGTAGTGCTTAATGCTGCTTTGCGATAACGGCACTGTTATTCTATATTGCATTGCTTTTATTTCAAGATTTAAAGCTTTTAACAGTTTAAAAAAGAATTCTTTATAAGTTCATTAGTTAGTTACGTTCAGCTGATGTAAGCATTGTCACTGCTGAGAAATTTGACTTGATGACTTAGTCAATACTTTAAATTAGCTTGATATCATTAATTGCCATACGATTTTTTATTATAAATTTTTTGTATGCTCTGCCGTAGTTGGTTGATAAGCGTAGTCTGTCAAAGAGCAGTGGAATGTATAATATTCTGAGAAGCCTTGAATTCCACCGACGCAAACGTTTGCATCGGAGAGATTTTTTTTTTAAGTGTGAGGGAGAAGCTGGATAAGTAAGTACGAAAGCATCCCCCCCCAGCATTATCAGCAGCTACTTTGGCTAGTTTGTCTGCTATTTCACTTACTTTCTGTTGCTGCGTGTGCTTTCACCCATTGTAGGTTTATATGCGTATGCCGATTGTTACGCAGAATTTGCTGAATGTTAATGATGATTGGTGAAGTGTCCTGATGTTAAGAGATGGCTGAAAGTACGGACATGCTGTCATTGTATATGGTTGAATACCATTAATTAGAATCTATTATATGTATAACTTCTCTTACTGCTAACACTTCCGCTTAAAAAAAGCCGTTATAATATGCTAAATGTGCTTTCCAGTTATGCATTTGATTCTGGTCGTTGAATTCCACTAGCCTTCTGTTAGCATAAATTTAGGTATTTTGCATAATGAAACTTGAAAGGCATACGAAACGAACGTGCGCCAAGATATATATTGGCGAGAGAAAGTAAAGTTCGTGTGCAATGCAGTATATTTGATTTTCACCCTAGCTACTTGTACCTGGCCAAAGGTCTAATACAGTTAGTACTTTCTCTTTTCAGGTACGGTGTCGAAGTATGTTCGTTCGTGTTTCTCTTATTTCCTAAAATAGGTAAGCCTGATGATATTTAGGACTGATGATGATTCTATGTAAGTTATCTCCTTTTCAATACTTTAGTGTTTTAATGTCCGTGAAGATTATTACTTTTTGTTATGCTTAAGTTAAGCAAAATTAATCTATTTTATTAAATAAAGATTTCGTAGTTAACCTTTTTGACTTATGATACTTTAATGAAAACTGTGCTTGAGGAAACGTACTCATACGCCTTCAGTTGCTAATGCACAAACCAACAAAAGATTATGAGACTGAGTAGGGTAATTGCCTTGTGGAAGTGCTTCTAAAATTGAAATGTTGTAAGATTCCAGGGGCATAA